AACTCTGATAAATGCTCTTTACTTGAAAAGAAATGGATATAGCATAAAAGCTGTTCCAGCATCTCTTTATTCAGTAAATATTTCCTAAGGGTAACTCATAGTTTCTCTTTATCCTACAGGATGTGAAGGGGTCACTTCTTGGAAAAGCAAGAAAACTAGCCTCACTGACAATCAATACTATTTTGTTCGCTCTTAACAACATAAAGGGAAGAAGGAAATCAGAGGTTACTGCATATTGCACCTTATAATCCATATAAGAAATCACATCAGTATTTATTGGCAGAGAAGACTGGGTGGAGATGGAGATACTAACTGCATTTATGTGGAAAAAAGAGATGGAAATGAAGTCTGTGTAACAGTAGGCAAAATACTTGCTCTGAAAAGGAAATATTTTCTTAAATATTATAATAGCACCTTGAAAATCCATTCAGGAATTGGCTCATAGTTTCTCCTGATACTGCTGAGTGGTAGGTCAGGTCACTGAGACAAAGAAATTACAGTCTAAATGATGGAGTCAGACAAAGGACACATTTGGTTCATCAGCATTTCTGTCAGTTATGGAAACAACTCAAATGGAAAATGTTATCCATAAATAAGGACTTTCTGCTGCAATTCTCTGCTGTCTTTGATATGCCTCATAACAGTTATATGGAGCTATGTAGTGCTGGTACTTTGGAGACCACCCAAAGACCCAAAGGGCTGCCGAGTACCATTCTTACCAGTGTAAAAGTCATTGCCCCTTATGAATGTAAAATAGCATAGCAAATGATATGCCTCTTTCTTTTATGACTCTGTGTACGTACGTATAACTGTCGTGATTATGAAACCAGGTCCACACTCACAGGATTTCCTTCTTTTCCTATTGAATGCTGCCTAGTGGCATGAGAATAAAATGTTTCCATTTTTTTTGTTTATTTGTTTTACGTTGTGATGTAGTTGGCAAAAAAACCTGCCATCTGACTTAATAAGTGAAAGAACAGAAAAGAACATAGAATAGGATTCAACATCTGGCAAGATGTAACTTGGACTTTCTTCTTGATTGTGTCTGTTTCGAATGCCAGGTGTCTATCACCTGGGATATAGTCTTACTTTGGCAAAGTAAATCTATTACTAACTCTCTGAAGAATGCCGTCCCTGAATGATGCCACAGCTAATGGAACACTGATTTACTGCCACAACTGTAAAGGATATTTTTTAACATTGTGTTACACTTCCCATCAATTTAGATCAACCAGACCTACCATATGTGAGAAGTTATCTGCATTTTTCTCCAATAAAACTGAAATGATGAAAGCTTTGCTTTCCCTGAGGTATGATCCAGTATTGGTAGCCCCATTGTTTTTTCTTTAGCCCTCATCTTCTTTGTCAGGGCTGGAGCATATTATTCCTTCAATGCTTGCCAGAATTCTATGGCTTATTTGTTGTTTGAGACTCACCATATGTGTCTTTGATCCCTGCCTAGTAGGCACCTTGGCTACTTGCCAGTTTGGCACTTATGATTATCAGCAGTATGAATAGCTCCCTTGCTTCTGATTCTGTCCTTCTTGCTGTCATCAAATCACTCTTTAAACAACTTTCTTATTTTCTTTTAGATGCTTATAAACGATCAACCTATTTTTACCATGCCTTTCTTGGCCAAGGTTTTGTGTCACACTGCAGGAAATCCAACAGCTTTATGTTTCCACTCCTAATGATCTGACTGCCAACTACCAGTGTAAACTGTATGGGAACAATAAGGAGTACAGAAACATCTCTCGTCGTAGTATTTGTAGTTATTCTGTATATTACACAAATTTGCCTGTTCTTCCCATCTGGTTGGCTTGGTGGCATGACTTTTATGAGAGATTATTTATTTTAGTGAAAAGCATTCCTTTTAATAAACGTTTTAAGACCTTTGACCAGAACACAGTGTGAGCCAATGACAATGATAAATTCAGAAGAATATCAGAATGATAAATAGTTTTAAGAGACAGATGGAGAGCCAAAAGCCAAAATGTGCAATTTCTACTCACTATCCTGATATACCACTAAACACATCTGAGTTCTTCCACATGTTCTAGTAAACTGAAGTTGTTCCAAAATGCCATTGTTAAACTAAAGATATGCAGAATCAAAATAAGGAACAGCATAGGGCATGTCCAGACTACGAGAGGCCCATGTGCTGCCACATGCCATGATCTGTCAGAAATGTCCATTATTCTTTACATGATTTTGCAAACCCTTCAATTAATAAATATATTGCTATTATCACTGAAAGTAGACAAGGTTAAACATCATATTGTACTGCATTTGCCTCCATGTTAACTCACAAAGTGGGATGGAGTAAATTTTGTAGCCCCTGCAAGCAAAAACAGTATCAGGATGACTGCACATGCCTAACATACAATCTTCTTGGAGATACTTTCACACCCTACTGACCTATGTGACTTGTGTTTAACAATAACAATTCCTTTTAACTCTAAAGCTTTTAACACATACGGTTTTTTTCAAAAGATAAATTATCACAATTCTTCTTCTCCCGAGAAACATGCAAGTTTCAGACGAATGTGTTTTATTCATACATCTCTTGATTTTGAAACAACTCCTTGGATGGATTTAGGAGTAGTTGAAAAATTCAGTGCCAAATTGGCAAGGGTGAAGAACAAATGCTGATTGCAGGGAGAATGAGAGGTACAACACAAAAGAAACAGTGAGAAACTGTTGCATGAAAAAGTTTATTTGGAATTACTTTAGAATATATCTCTGTTATATTTTCCTTCTCCGTCCAACACCACCTGGATTTCAGATAAAGATGCTCCTTTTCAGCATATTTGTTGGCACTCTAAGTCTTAAAGTGGATTTGTGTCAGAAAATATTCACAGTGGGCATAGGGTGGAAGAGCCTACTGAAGCTTTAAGCCCTACAAAAATGGCATTCAATCTGGCAATATGTTTTATTGTTATGTTCATAGAAACAGTGACAGACACAGAAGTGACACCATTAGAAGGGATTTAACAGGGAGAAGATAGCAGTTTGATATCTAAGCTACCTGCAGAGAGTTACAATGCAGCTAATTTCAGAGATATTTGTAAGAAAGATGATTAAAGGCCATACGAAATTTCACTTTGGTACTTGAGTAACTTGTGAACAGGTCAGGTATGTAGGCAAGCAAGGTACACTTCATTCACATTCTCTAACTTCCATGCAATTGCAGTTTTTATCCTTTTTCCAACTCGCTATGAAATGTACAGAAAAGCGAAAAAGAAAAATAATTTTTTAAAATCTTAATAAAGTTGTTTTTCCTTCATGTATACCACATCGTTGGGAAACTGGCTCTCACTGGGAAACAAAAGAGAAAGGCTTGATTTTTTGGTCAGCTTTTCTACATTTTATCCCTAATTTTATGGGTAACAAGATCAAAGCAGCACCCAGCGTCCGCATTTAATGGAAACTTAGTGGATTTTTGAACTGCGAAAATATAAGAATGTTGAGTTTACAAATATTTTACTGGAAGAAGGAAGAAAAGATATTAACTGCATCATATTGCAGTCAGTAGAAAACCCCCCTGGCACAGACTTGAAATTGCAGAGATGACCACCAGCAATATTTTAAAATAAATTTTAAAATTGCATTTGAAATATTTTATTTCTGAGAAGCCATCATTACCCTTGAAAACCAAAAATTTCCCCGCCAATCAATCAGCATCCAGTTTTGGTTTACAGTGGCTATGGAAACACCATTTTTGGATGCACAGAACAGCACGCATGAAATGCAAAACAGCAAAAGAAAAATACCCAGCTTTGAGAGCATCGCGCCTGTCTGTGGACGACTGAAACAGAGACTTGGCAGTAAACCTGATAATCTTTTGCAGAAAATTACTGAGAGAAAGGTTAGTCAATTTAAGAAAAAAATCCCTGATACCCCAGAAAAGAAATGACCCAGAAACAATTTCCAGTGCATTCGGTATTTCGCTTGAGGGGAGTTTGGAAAGTTGGCTGACACATTGAATGCTGAAGGAGTTGACAAAATATAACCTGCTGCTGCGGAGAGAGTTGTTGAAATCTGAACAGTATTCCATTTGCTATGCTCTTAAGTTTCTGCTATCCAAGCGGAAAGCAGAAATGGAAGAGTGCGCATAGAGCCTCGTGTTACACGGACGGCCGAGGGATCAGGGCCGTGTTCGGCCCCGGGATGGGGAACAGGGCACGCGGCTTGGTGTGGAAGCAGCCCTGTCCCTTCTCCTTGCTCCTCTCTTTCGCCTTTCTGCCTAAAGCCGTGCCAGCTCCGCCTGGGCTCCGTGTCCCGCGGCCGTGTCCGGGACACGCGGGTCAGCACGGCCGGCTGTCCTCGCGCTCGTGCCCGCCGCGTCCCCGGGCCGCGTCTCTGCTCAGGGGTTTCTCTCGCGCGCCGCCCGCCATTGCAGGCTGCTGCGGCGCCGGCCGAGCCCGCCCTGGGCGCGGGCACCCCAGTGCCGGGGCGGGAGGAGGCGGGCGGCGCGGCGCTGTGAGGGGCTTCAGGCGGCGCTGTGAGGGCTTCAGGCGCGCTGTGAGGGTTCGGGCGGCGCTGTGAGGGGTTCGGCGGCTGAGGCGGCGGCCGCCGCAGCCGCGCGGAGGGGGGACGCGGCGGCGCCCGGCGTCCGCCAATCGCGGCGCCGTCGCGCGCGGGCCGAGCGGCTGCGCCGGTGCTGCGCGCGGGCCGCGCTCGCCAGGCAGGTGCTCGCGCTGAAGGCTGAGCCACCAAGCACCTCCTCAGGGAGCCGCTCTGGATCGGGGAGCCGCCCGCGGCCGCGCACGCCGCGCAGGTACCGACGGACGCGGGCAGGGGACGGGACGGTGCCAGCCTGGCGGGGAGGGCCGCCGCAGGGGAGGACGGGGCCCGCCGGCGCCGCCGCCCCTTCGCCGCCCCCCGCCGCCCCTCAGGCCGTCCCCCGCGTCTCTGCTGCCGCTGCCAGCCGCCTGTTCCCGCCTCGCCCCGGTCCCGGCGTGCCCGTAGGAGCTCCGGGATTGTGTCAGCGTCCCCCTCTCCCCCAGGCCGTGCCCGGTCCGTGTTTCAGCGCACGGCCGGTGTTGCACCATCTTCCAGGCGGTGCAAACTCAAGTGGGTGTCGCTGGTGGCGCTGGGGCAGCAATGAGGCAGCGGTAAAGAAACCTACCCAGCAGCGTCCTCGCCACCTGTGAGCATCCACTGTGGGAAAACCATAAAATGGCAGGGTGACACACATTTTGGCGACGCCATGGCATTGCCTTTGCTCCCTGCAGCTTTTATTTTTCAAGCGAGTGTGGTGGGCCCGTCTCCTGGTGGCTGAAGAGTTACTGCGGCCGTAGGGGTGCGGTGGCAGAGCCAAAAGCATCTCTGGAGCAGCTGCAACCTCTGCCTGGCCTGGGGTGCTCGGAGTACCGGTGGGGTTGTGTTGGAGGGGCGAGTGAAGGGTTGCTCACCCTCCTGTCTGTCAGCCATGGACAGGTGTGGAGAGGGGCTGGAGGTGGTGGGGAGTGGAAGAGGAAGGTAGGTGAAGAGGCACGTGGGCAAGCAGCCAGATGAACAGCATAGGCCATGACTGTCCTAATCATGGCTTTGTAAGGAAAGAAATGAAGGAAGGGGAAGCTACCGGCATATCGTCTTTGAACTGTCAGTCATTACAGCTCTAACTCCAGTAATCAGTTGGTGCTTCAAATATTAAAAAGCATAAGCCAAACCTAGAACAAAATTGGTTGAAAAATCATGTCTTCAAAAAAGAAAGAACTTCTTTTTGTTGCACCTTTCTTCCATTTTCAGGTATACTGGGGGTACATCCTCCATTTCTCGCTGTCATCTGGAAGTGAAATTTAATTTTTAGATAGCAATGTGTCTTCAGAGGTGGGGAGGTGATAAAAATGTTCTGAGTGCTATGAAAGCTGGCAACATACTAATTTTGCTTCAGATAATCTGAGCCTCATTGCTCAAAAGCTACATACATATGTGGAATACCAAAAGCAATAGTGTTGTGAGTACAGAGCTTTGTATAGGTAAGCCCCATACAGCTTCCAGCTATCGTATTTCTCTGAGAATAGTATCCATCCAGCATTAAATTTTGGGGAAAAAAAACAAGAATTTTTTTTTTTTGTAAAGGTGGAAAAATGTTTTATTATGGTAAAAAGAAACAGAATTAAAGGACTTCTATGTATTAAGGCATGAAGCAAAGCACTATAATTCTGTTCATGTGCCTTCGCTGCATTTTGGTGCATCATTTCCTTTAGAAAGATCTGAAAGTTATAAAAAAATTCTTTCAAAATACCTTGATATGCCACTTGATTGTGTCAGTCTCTGTCCCCATCAGACAAAGCATTTGAATGGTTCAAGGGCTTTTGCAACAGAGAGGGTTTGCAGTCAAAGATAAGCAATAACATCTTCCCCGAAAATAGTAGAATAAAAAAAAAAAGTTTTCTTCATTGGAATGGATGCCTGTAATTTTTGTTTCATTTTTACAGTGCTTTTCTTTCATTTTCATGCTCATTTTTCTTTCTCCAAGGATACAGAAAGATGTCTTCATCAGCAAACATCAGAATTGGATGTTTATCATCCCTGTGCACAATGATGTGAGTGTAAGCTGCACAGTGCACTGAGCCCATTGACACTAATTAAATCCAGAGTGAGTCACTGTTAATGTTTTAACATTTGCTTCTGCATTACCTTGCTGTGACTTTACATGAATCTGTTCAAATTTCCATTTTTCTCACATGGATTCTTAAACAACCCACAAAGGTTTTCATTTTGTGGGAGTGAATTCCATACCAATCCTGTTAAAAAAAAAAGTGTTCCTTGTTATGTGATCTAGAAACCATACTAGCTCAAGTGGTGGTTGTAAAATAGGGAAGGGGTTTAGGTGCAAGAACAGTTTCCCAGAAATCATTTAGTGCTTCCATGGGTGATGAAAATAAGGAGCTTATTTAAATGCTGAAATATTTTCAGGAGTTCCTCAGGATTTTTCTTTAAACACAAAGTAAAATGTAGGGGTTGCTACTAGGGCTCTTGTAAAAATAAAATCGTTCAATTTCATCTAAAAAAAATCCCAAATACATAAGAATTTGGTTATATACTGTGCTGATTAATTTGTAAAGGTCAAGGTTTAACCACTTGGAGCTGTACTGGAGGTGAAATAATAGGTCCTAGAGTGAGTAGTGAGATGTCTTAGTCTTTGTTTTCCCTTATTTGTTCTGTTTCATTTAGCCAACCAAATGCTACAATTTTTGTAGCATTTTTAGAACCATACTTGACTTTAAAACATAAGGTTGCTTGAGTAGCAAAGTTATTGAAAAGGAGAGGTGAAAAGTAAAAGGCAATTGGGCTAATGGCTAGATAGACAGTAAATAAAATCTTCTACTCCATATTAGTAATATCTATTTCAGTCTTATTTAGAGTAGCCTGTATTGCATAAAAAAGTTATTGAACCCCTGACTAGTCCGTGAGATACCACATTCCTGTGGCAGTGTGTTCATCATTCTCCATTTTCCTTGTTTCTTAACTGTTTGCTTCAGAAATACTGTGGTATGCTTAATGCAGGGAATATAATTAGCTTCATTTTGTCAGGATTGCTTCAGTTTTTATTAATAAATGTGATTAACTTAATATTAAAGGTCTAATTTATTTTTACTAAAGAAGAGCTATGACAAATGAGAATTTGTTAAAGACATAGATTTATATCAGAACTGTAAAACGTGCTACAATCTACCTAGAAAGGAGGTGGGAGTAGATGTTGCACTATTATGGAGATTTCTGCAGCAATCAAGGTTGTTACTGATGGTGACTCATAGGATTTGACTGGAGTTTGTAACGTACTCTGTGTTCTGTTTTGTAAAATACTCAGGCTGAGCAGCAGGGAAGGTGTTTATCTGCTGCTGATGGTTGTCCTCTGGCTTAGCAGGAACCTTCTGACTGAAGAAAAGATGATCTAGGAACAACTGACATTGGTCTCATCCTGCAGACTTATTGTCGTATTTTCATGTTGGTTAAAATGGAATTTTGATGTATTAGGAATATGCAAAGGACACAGCAGGGAGGAGCTGGATGGCTAAAAAAGTGATGTAAAAAACTGGGATGAAATTCAAGGATATTGAATGATTAGGTGCTTTGAGACCAATAACCCAAACTAGAAACTTTGATTTTATCTGTTAGAAGAGATTGAAGAAGAACCTTGGAATATTCACAAATCATAGGATGACTGTGAGCTGCCAATACAGCTGTTAAAAAAGATCAAGTTAGGTCTGCAGATATGTTAGATCAAGTATTTCCAGTCAAACAGGGAACTATTGGGTGCCATTGCAAAAAACTGAATCTGTTCAGTTTTGGTTAGTCATGTTCAAGAAATTGAGTTCTAGCTGGGGCAAGTGAGGTCTTGCACTGCTGGAATGGTTGTGAAAAGGGAGATGAAGTGTAAAATGACTAAGGTTTGTTTAATATATTAAGACCTTGAGGGTATGCAAGCAAGGTGGGAAGGAAAGGAATTAACTGCTTAAAATAAAAGAAGATGTTGCCACACACAAACAAGTGCTTATACTTTATCTATGTATTAAAGTAGAAATTTGAAAGCTAATTGTCCATTGGTGACATTCTTTAGGAGCCTTCTAGTCACAGTAAAGAGGGTGAAAAACCTGTATTATTTAGGTTTACAATAAGGATTATACGATGTGGTTTCCATAGTAGTAAAAATTATTTGATTCATAAGAGCTTTTAAAGATTATACAATAAGGAATAGAGGACTAGATATGTCAATGATGTAAAATACAGACAATTCCATGTCCAGTTTTTTAATTACATTGCATGACTTACAATACTTTGGAGAAAATAGGTTAGTTAAGGTCAAAGAGTCAACTTTGGTGTGAATATTCATCTTCTGCCACTTTAAATTGAGGAATCCTACTCTACAAGAAGGTAGTGTCTAAATATAGCTGGTAATCAGCATCTTTCTCTTAGACCCTTGTGTTTTAAAGTGTACTAGGTAGGTGTACTAAGAGGTATAGTATATTAAGAGTATATTCGAAGTTATATGGTTTGGTTGGGGCTACCCACACCTACCACAAACAAAGCAAAATAAGTAAAAACCAAAGCTCTAGTCTCTTGCTCCCCCGGATGTGGCTGTGACTCTCAGAGGTGTAATCTGTCCAAATAATGCTAATGTGTGCTATGTTATCTTGTGGGATTTCTGTCACAGATTTAGACTGTCATATAGGATGCATTACCCAGAATTATTAACAATTGTTCAGGATATTACCATTGGAAAGCACTGTATACATTATTGTCAGTTTTATAACTGGAGAGGAACACAAATGCTAGGTGCTAAATATATAAAATAATGAACATAAGCTTGAGTCCTCTAATTTAGACAGCTAACTTCTGTTTCAGTGCCTAGATTGCCATGATTTATTTGCTACAGGCCTAAATATCCAAATCAAAAACACAAGCCTGAGATTCCCTCATCTCCTCACTGCATGACATTCTTGGATCAAGAGATGCACACAAGTGTCTTATTTTTATGGTTTTAATTTGCTAGGTTAGATTTTTCAAGAGACTGTCATGTTTTAAACATATGCTAGAAACCTCTCAAATTTATTTTTAAGTAATCAAGAATAACAGTCCTGTAGTATTGTGCTACCTAAGAGGAGATGGTTGACCTGTTTTATTTGTGTCTTTTAGCTACACCTCAGAGCAACTGACTTGAGACATACTGTATTTCACATTCTTTATATTACCATGTAATGATATATTCCAGGAATAAATTAATGTTTGCAGACTGTCCTAAATAGCTGTTTAGGCTATTTTTATTTTTTAATTTAATTTATGTAGTTAAAAAGTACTATAAAAATTGCTTTCAACAATATTGTAAATTTATTAATTTATTATTGCAATTACAATATGCAAGAAACACATCATTATTTACATTCTTTTCTTTTAGATATTTTTGATTGCATAAAAGTAGAAAGAATAAAGAAGCTAGGTGTCCTGGACATTATATTGCAAAAGTTTTGTTTCTTGACTTTTTAAAAGGATGACATTATTTAAAGATAATTAATGAAATCATTATAGAGAAATTATGTTAATTTCCTGGGGCAAAGATCTTTTTTTTTTTCTCTTTCCTTTACCTACATACCTTATCTCATTTTGTGTTTTCATCCTGAACTTCCAAAGTGTTTAAATTTTGCATTGTCTTTTGTGTAAATGAAGACTAACTGATCACTAAGAGACTACGAAGTTCCTGATTTCCAGCCCTTCATATTCTTCTACATGCAGAGACCTTGCCAATACAGAACTCAGTAGATGGATCTTTATCTTAGTGAATACATCACAAGAATCTCCCAAAAATGAGACTTTTGTTTTGTTTTGTTGCAGATTCCCAAGGAACATTTATTTTCTTAATGTTCATAAGATGTAAAGCATACAAAATTATTATAAAAAAATAAAATAAATAGAAGAATAAAGTAGAAAAGATTGCTATAATTTAGAATTAAATTATATACTACTCAGTTTGTATCAGCATGCTGTATCTTTTCTTGTTGAATTTAGAGATGATGAATGTCATATGATACATGCTGATACGGAAGGTAATAAATAAAACACTCCCACGGAATTTTACTGGAGTAGAGAGAGTTCAATGCTGAGCTCTTTCCAGAATTTTCTTTGAAGTCAAGAGGAGTTTCCTCTTTAGAAGATTCAGTCAGTAGACTCCTGCCAGTTTTTTTCAGTCAGGTATTTTATATGCTGCAGGATAAGAGCTCAAGAACATTGAAAAGTCCAAAGAGGCTGAGTACTTGGTTTGTTAGAGGTGCCAAACAGGATGTTAGAAGTTAAGAGACTGATAATAAAGTGTAAGTTTGACCTAAATGGAGTCACTGACTTTTACTTCTTTTGTGCCATTGGACTGTGAATAGTGGAAAGAGAACAGGAGCATTTTAGTTGATAGAGATTTATGCTATACTGGGATCATTAAGTGAGTTTAAAACTTTACAATAAAGCTGGAAATGTTGTAAAGGATTTTACAGATCTTGCTCTGCAAATTTGGGAATTAAAAAAATGCACAGGAAATTTCTACTCAGATCCAACATCTGTTTTTGGTAAGGTCTCGATCTGACTTTTCCCACCTCCATCTCCTTCAAAACCTACATGTGGGCACAGTGATACTCATTTCCTTGAATGCCAGCTCATTTCGGACACACCATGTGTCAAATCATCATTTCAAAATTCGTACATCTTGAAATCATTCTTCTTCATTTTCTCATTGCTTTGGCTGAGAGTGAAGATAAGTGAATTTCCTGATATCAGCTAGATCCCAATTTAAAGCCTACCGAAATAAATGGGAATATTATCTTTGTCTCAGGTTTTAATAAGGATTTTATTTACAATTTGTAGGTCTTCTGTTTTCTAGTTCCAGTAAGGAAATCTCAGAAGTGCCTTGTAGGACTACTGTAAGACTTACCAATTGTTCAGATATAGAAGTTTTCGTAAAGAAAAATATTTACTGCTCCTAATTAATCAAATTTTGTGCCTTCGAACTGTCTGATGTGGTGACAAATAGTAGTAACAATTGTCTCTATAGAGACTTGGATCATACTTTACTGGGTTTTTTTCACTTAGGTGGAATGCTGGGTACCTAGCATG